CTTCCCCGGTATCCCGTATACCCACTACAAACCTAATCAGAGTCCTCTCCCCTAGTGAAAATCCGATCTTCCCTTGCCTAAGTCCACGCCCCTCCAACTCCAGCTACCTTCTCAGTCCTTTAGTCCTACCATAGGGCCCCCAGGTAATAATTTTAAATCATGACACCCGCACCCTTCTGACTTCTCTCCCTGTCCTCCATCTCCACCCTTAAGGTTACTGCAAGTCTTCTATCCCCATGACCGTCTCCGAGTCCCCGAGTTCAGGGTACCTGAGCACCCTCTCCGCGCACCCGCCTTCCAGTTGGCTCTTTGCCTCTCTGGATCCCGTCTCACCTAGGAACCCCACTCCAGATACCTCCGCTCCCCTCCCAATCCTTAAGTTTCAGCCTGAGTCTCTCCTCGACTCTCAACTCCTACCTCATCCAGCTCCCGTTCCCCAGCAGCACCTCCTCCAACCTCCATCTCCACCACTGCCGCCATCTTCACAGCTCTCCCACTCCCTGCCCTCCCCGTGCGAGCCAGCTGCTTCCGCCGCTCAAGTGCTCCAAGCCAATCGCTGCACAGGCTCAGGCAGAGGGGGCGGGACATCAACACAGGCGGAGACCTGGCGGGGACTAAGAGACCGTCTACCTGCTACTCACTTAAAGGTCGAGGAGGGACGGTTCCCATGCCCTTCCAAGCTTCGGCAGGGGAGAGTTCTTGGAAGATGAGAAGTTGGGCTTGTCTTGTTTTCAAGTGCAAATATTTCCCCCATTCTCCCCTTTGGAGAACCGGAGAAGAGTCCCTAAACCATCAACTTTCGAGACGCTCCCTCACTCTAGGGTTCAAAGAGTGAGGCGTGCAGTCTAAGGACTATATTTCCCAGAACGCATTGAATCTGACCTGGAAGTTTTAATTCTGCTCTCTCGCCAGGAGATTTCTCTACAGAAAACGCACAAGTGTATATTACTGGCCACAGCACCTGCCTTCTTGCCTTGGTGGGAGTCATTTTTCAGAAATAGCGACTTCTTGAGGCCCCGGGACGAATTCCCAGGCTTCGAGAAGCGGAAGAGTAGCGCTCCGGGTCAGAAGGCGGAGGTCAAGGGCCGAATTGGCGGGAGAATGAGTTTGTGATCCAAGATCTGAGGCTGCGGTGGCTCTTCGAGGTTCATTGTCCCTGGTGAGGGGCGTTGGAGGGTTCTTGATGGGGAAGGTAATGACCAAAAGGGAGGAGGGGTGGCATCAAGAAAGTGGACAGTATAGTGCGTTCCAAAGAACCGCGGAAATAGTCGCGCAGCTTAGGCTTTAGAAGTTGAGAACTGGAGTCTTGGCATCAAAACTGCTGCTTAGGCTCTCACGTCTCTCGATCTACTTCACACATCTCGGTACTCTTTCCTACCTCACATACTGCGTCCCCAGTCTCTACCTTTTCCCTCATCCTATACACCTTATTCACTGTGCTGCACCCCAATTTATTTGTACATCTGGAGCAGAGACCTAGCAAGCCTGCAGCTCCTGCTTTCACGCCTTCTAGGCGTCCCCGTTGGATCTATTGGATGAACAAGGCTAGGATGACCTGTGAGCTCACAAAAGTACTAGAATGCCAGTCAACTGTATTTGGGGCTGTCAGGAAGTTACAGGGTAATACTTACACCATCTACAGCCATCTCACTTTCTTAAAATGAGAATTATTTTTATTATGTGAAACAATATAGAGTATTATGAACACCGTATACCCATCACCCCAAATTGATTATTGAAATGATCTATTTGCTTCCTCATTTTTTAAAAAGATGAAATACTGGTAAAAAATAGAGCTTATCTGTGTCTTCTCCTCTCAGACCAATTACTCTTTCATCCTCCCAGAAGCAACCATTATAATTAGTTGCGTATTCTCCCAGTCCATCGAAAAAATGTTATGTGTATTCACAAACTATAAGTATTGTATTGTTTCACTTTGTTTTATAATGAACATATGTGCTATTTTCTATGAATCTATAATTAATTATCTTTTGAGGGCCATCCATGTTTATGTATATTTACATCTAATTATTCTTTTAACTGTTATTTAGTAGTCCATTGTATAATATATAACATTTCATTTATCCATTCCTCAACTAATGGACATTAGAGTTTTATGGTTCTTGCTATTTGAAACATTGCATGTGTCTTTTTCTGCACATGTGAGTCCCTCTAGAACTGCATTCTTCAAATAAGTTAACTACTAGCCACATGTCGCTATTCTTGAAATGTAGCTGATCAGAATTAAGTTGTGCGGGAGTGTTTATGAGAGGGCCCATTTCCCCATATTATTGCCAATTCTTTACATTGTAGACTTTAAACACTTTTTCAGTCTCAGAGGAAGATGTATTTGTAATTTCCTTACTACCAGGGAGGCTGAGGATTTTTTATATGGGTTTTTGGTCATTCAGATTTCATCTTAAGTGAATTGTATGTTTATATCTTCTCTCCAGTTTTCTATTGGACTGCTCATCCTTTTCTTACTGATTTATAGTACTTAAAAATATACATTCTGAATACTATCCAAGTTTATATGTTATGAATATCTTCTTTTAGTCATTTGTATTTCAACCTTGTTTATATTACCTTAAATCATTTTTCATTTGAGTATAATTTTTAAAATACGTTATGAGGTAGGAATCTACTTTTATTTCTCTTGACATCGTGAACCAGTTTTCTGAGCACCATTTAATCATCTTTTTTTCTGACAGAATCATGATTCTGCTCTATCTTACAATTAACTTAACAGGTTGCAAATTCCCATTTATATGAATCTTTCCGGAATCTATGTGCTTGTTTCTGTAGACAGTACATTTTAATTATTGTGACTTTGCAATTTTTTTAAAGGAGGTTATCTTCACTGCTTTGAACTTTTTAGAATTGTCTTAGCAACTTGTGTCTCTTTATTGTTTGATGACTTTGTCATGTTCGCCAGAAACTTCTACTGAAATTCTGATTGGATTTCTATTGACTTAATAAACTACTATTTTCACTGGCTATTTATTTATGCCTACTGTATTTCAGCACCTCTCTGAGGTGTGGGAGATGATGAACATGACAAAAATCCATATCCTCTAAGTACTCACTTCTTAGTGGGGAGACTCACAGGGTAAACAAGCCATTGCCAAAAAACAAGAACAACATTGTATACTAGGGCAAGAAGGTTAGAAAGTGCTTAATCCTTGGAGAACTACAAGCAATTTGATAGAAAGTAATCTTGAGGAGCAAGATTGTATGTGTCCTATTCACCACTGTATATGTAGCACCTAATACTATGCCTGGTACCTACTAGACAACCCCCAAAATATTAACTAAATGAAATATCCAAGGTTGACAGCTTCAAGGTTTCAACCTTTCACATCAACTCACAAATGTGTACTGGGAGTTTCTTCAAAACAGAGAGCATATCTTACTTATTTTTATATTTCTAATATCTAGAAGAGAATAGGAAAAACTCGTGAATGTTCAGTGAGCTTCTATAGTGGGAATAATCAGCTCTAATTACTCTGGAGGCATAGAGAAATGACTCAGGACTCATCCTGCATTCTTTTCTTTTTGGAGCCTTTGCAGCATATTGAATGTGACCTGTGAGGAATGTCTGAACTTTAGATAGCGTTCACTAAGAGTTTGTTGCAGCAGTCTACCCTATTCTGAGCACTCCCTGAATGCTGGCTCTCTGGGGCTCAGTTTCTATGGTCATTCATTTAACAGACATTTGCTAATCTAGAACTATATATTTATCCCTCTTACACTGAGAATACAGAAATGAATCTGACATGAAGCCAGTCCTCCAAGAGCATATAATTGGTCAAGGGACATAAGACATATACCCAGATAATTCTAATACAGAATGGAGAGGGTGGAGCTATCATCTTGAGATGGTTGAACAGAGTAGAGTTGACAGTTAAGCATCAAAGATGCATTTGATTTGACAAGTGGGAAAGGGAAAGCATTCCAAGCAAAGCAATGGCATGAGCAAAGTCTTGGAGGTGGGAAAAAAATTGGGGGATGGGAAGGAAGCAAGAAGACCATTATGGCTAGGAGTATGTCATGGGCCATATTTAGGCGTCAGGTGGGTAACAAATGACTAAAATGGGCAAGGTATAAATATTAGAGAGAGATCCATATATAGACATTCAGGAATCATCTGGCCAACAATTTGTTGAAGCTAGATGATGGATGCATGAGAGTTCATTTACTAATATGTATATTTTTGCATATATTTAAAATATTCCATAAAAAGTTTACCAAAATACAAAGTACAAATACCCATATGCACTTTTAACATTAAATTAATAAACAAAACATTGATAGGTAAAATACATCCTCTGAGATGAAGCAGGAAATGTAGAGATCTACATTGTAGATGTTTGAGGGGCTGAGCTGAATTAATATTCATTATGAACCTACCATGTAGCTAGGAATTAGCATACATCAGGAAGCAAGTGAATAATTCTAGTAGAGGAGTAACTAAATGAAAAGCTAATTTAGGAAGATTTTATGGGAAGAAAAAAAGGGACTTGTATCATATATTTAGTTGAACATTTGTTGCACATCTTTGCTATGTGCCAGATTCTAGGGATATGAAGAAGAATGACTTAAGGCACAATCCATGCCCTTAGGAGCTCACCTACATATAAATCCAACATTGATATATTAACATATCTTTTGTACTTGCTGCTTATTGCCCTACAGTTGCATTCTAGTTGTTTGAGGTTTGTTGGAATCTCATCAGCTGGTCCAGATCTGGTCCCTGCCCACCATCCCCACCCAAGCCCATTATGGTCATCAAAAAAAGTCTGACTGACTGCTGCGAATAACTCCTATTACCAAAGAAACAGCCATGACTAGTTTATTTTTCTTTTGTTCTCTTCTTTAGGACTAACATGAGGATTCATTCTCTTCTGGAAGCCTACGGGACCAAAACAGGCACTGCCAAACTGGTGACAGAAGAAATCTCAGGAGAAAGCATTTTTGCCTTGTACTTGGGACAGCTGATAAGCCCACCATGGCTCCTGTGAAGATCAGCCACGTGGTATCTTATTCCTCTCAGGTATATTAATTAGCAGGTATGATTTTTTTTCTTGGTGACAGAAAGGAGTGAAAAAAATAGGAGACTTGGCTCCACTTTCAGGTAACTCCCAATCTAACAAAAGAGACATTGTCCCTTCTTTGAGAGTCCAGAGTTGAAAGGAGAAACACAGCTTTTGCCCTCAGGCTGTTCCCAAACCGATGCAGGACACATAAGAGAAATGTTCCCAGGAATTAAAGGTAAAGAAGGAAACAACCTCAGAATTGCACTCATAGTTTTGTGGGAGCTGGCAAAGCTATAGGACCAAAGTCTGTTCTGAGGTTCCCAGAAGCACAGTTTAGTCACTGTGTCATTGAGAACAGGCCAGGACACTCAAGGTCATCTCTGACCTGTGAGAATATCACCACCAGCAGCAAAGGTGATTTCAGCCTCCTCCCTAAAAGTCCACTTTCAGGAAATGCTGATTATCCCAATTATTAACACTAATCCATTGTTGTGATCCCTAAGGACTTTCCTCTTCTGTGTATCCCTATCCATTTACCCGCTCTCCCTGCTCTCCCCCTTATCCAAAAAAAAAAAATTACCCTTATCCTCTTTACCTACATGGTCAGCCTAAATTATTTTCTTCATAGTCTCAGCCTATGTTCTCTTACAAAATGTCAGAGAACATTAGCTGTCATCTAATATTATGGTTTTCAAACTGTACTATGTGGGGAACCGCTTCTAGAAATTGAAGGAAGATAGGACAAGTATGTCTCTAGGCTCCCCCAACCTGTGCTTTAACCAGAGACCTGCTTTCGTTTATTGAAAACACACACACATACACTTTATTATTAGACTTCAGTTAAAAGGAAGGATTTTGTTGCTAAAACAAAAAACAAGATTGAAAGCCACAAGTCTAGTCTCCCCCCTTTACTTATGGATGCAGAAATTTAGATCCAGAGAGAGAAAGTAATTTGTTCAAGGCCTTTCCACCAAAAAATATCTGACCTTCTGTTAGAATTGAGAAATTTCTATCTCAGTATTGCTGTTATACCCTTTGAACAAATTATTTCTAACCATCAGTTGTAAACTTAGAATCAAAATCTTTGCCTTTCATACATCATAGGGTTACTTTGGAGATAAATAAATGTCTGCGAAAACACCTTATAAATGAAAAGAAATAATATAGTTTGGTGGTTAAGAGCTCTGGATTCAGAAATCTGGAAGTCGTGGCTGTGATTGGTTACTTGGCCTTGTGACCTTGGGGAAGTTTCTGAACCTAAGCTTCAATTTATTGATCTGTTAACTGAGAAGCAATAACAGTAACCACCTAAAGTTGTCCTGATAATTAAGTGAAGTACTCTGGTAAATGAAGGAGAAGTAAATGGGGTCTGTAAATCCCTTACACATGGTAGCTGCATTCCTATGGACTCCCATCTAGTGCCTTTCCTATCATGTTAGGATGCCTGGAAAGATTTGGGAGTGTAGGGGTCTCTCATTCATGGGCACCCTTTTCTCCCTTGGGTTCAGTGGGGTTCCTGATTTTCTCCTCTCTCTGACTTAGGATCCCAAGTATCCTGTGGAGAACTTGCTGAACCCAGACAGTCAGAAGGGACCCTGGCTCAGCTGCCCTCAGGACAAGAGTGGGCAACTGAAAGCAGAACTACAGCTGGAAAGGGCAGTGCCCATTAGCTACATCGATGTGGGTGAGTGAGTTCTCTGGGGCTTAGGAACCTCTGCAGGAGAACATAGGAGTAACATTCTCCTCCAAATGCCCCTCCAATATGTCTCAATTCAGTCTGGCTGAGCAGCCTTAGTGGCAGCCTTCCCCTACCATGTTTGAGGGGGAAACGTGGCCCTTGTCCTCAGAGCAGGTATGCAGTATTGGCAAACTTAGGATTCCATTCATGTAGAATTCAGTACAAATGGCATTCTTTGAATTATACAAGATACCTGCCCTGCTTTGATCTCATTGGTCTGGGTGAAGCCTTCGGACATTGACATAATTATAAATGCCAACAAATAGAATCTATATATACCTCTGAATATCAGTGTCAGAAGGATGCTGGGGATAAACTGCAGGCTAATCGGGAAGACTGCAGGAGTTTATGAGTAGAGAAGCTTAGCCTTAGAATTCTCTAAATGCTAAGAGCTACCAGAGACCACTGGTCTCCACTCTGTCAGGACAGAGAGCGGTCAGGCTCCCTAGTAAGAATTTAAGAGAGAGAGAGTTTGGCACTGCCCGCCAGCACCAGAGGACAGGAGAGCAGCAAGTCTCTTCAGTCAGGGGAAGGTTTCTGGCTGGAAGGAACATGGCGAACCTTCACATTGTCATTTAGTGGGCTGAGGTCTCATCCCACTTTAGTTACTGGCTCACCGTTGTGCTTGACCTTTCTGGGCTTCCAATTAGCTCTAGAATGGAGGAATGTCCTCTTCCTATCTGATTCCCTTGTGTACAATCAGAGGAGCCCCTGTCATTCCATCACCCTTATCCTTCTCTCAACCTTTTGCCCCCAGGTAACTGTGGCTGTGCTTTCCTGCAAATTGATGTGGGCCGTTCTTCCTGGTCCCTGGACAGACCTTTTGTCACCTTGCTCCCTGCAACCATGCTAATGTCCCTAGCTGATTCAAAGCAGGGAAAAAACCGCTCGGGGGTCCGCATGTTTAAAGATGGTAAGGTGGGCAAAAGCACAAATGAGAAAGAGACTGAGGGAGAGAGATTATGAGAAGGAGAGCTGCAGTACTCTAGAGGGCTTTAGGAGCTGGCAGGTGGGAGGGAGCCTATACAGGGGTTTAGTTATATCTGTTGTGGGGACAGGGTAGTTAATGTTAGTATGTGACTTCTCCATGATGAGAATACATGATAGCTGGGGATAGTTATGAACTATGATTTATATTTACACATAACATGTGATTGTGATTTTGTGAAGCCTGATGTAGAACCCACATTTGTGATTAGTGTGTTTGTGTTTGTATAAGTGTAAGTGTGAATATATATGTTAGTCTTGGATGAATGTTTATATAAGTGATAGAAGACTATATGATGGTCATAGTTATGTAGCATATAGTGTTTCCTGAGTTATGGTCTATGCAAATCTCTGTGTTCACTAGAAATTGCAGAAGAAGCATAGGACCTGATTGCTGGCCTCGAGGGACTTAGGATTTGTCTGCGTTTAAATTGGAGGTGTTTGTAAAGTGAAGGAAAAGTGATATGGGAGGGGCATACAAGGTGGAAAAGATGAAGTACTGCTAAACAGTGCTGGGAATTGAAGGTGAGAAAGATTTGTAGTACTAGTTTGTGATAATGTGCGTGAATGTGCAGGACATGTAGTGCCATGAGGGAGGCCAAGGTCTCATGGTCCAGGAAGGGTTGATGTAGCTCAGCTAATCCATTGGGCAAGTGGACATCCCAGACCCCAACACTACAAGTATCTGCTGTAAAAATGAGACATTGATAAGGTCTCTGGAGAGGTGAAGAATAGGGATGTACTCACACTGGGAACAGTATGGAATTGTGACAGAGAGGAATGATGGTGTGAAGGCAAGGCACTGGGTCTAATAGGACCCCGACTGGCCTGCTTGGCACTGCCAAACCCTGAGCACCAAGGCCGGAAAGGTCAGTTACTGATAACCTCCATTCTTCCTTTTGTTGGTTACTCTACATAGTCCCTGTCTTTTCTTCTCCCCGTCAGTATTGGCTTTCTCTTCCTTTCTCCCACCCATTCATGTATTTCCTCTCCCTCATATTTTCTTTTCCTCGAGATGATTTCCTGGCTCCAGCTTCAGGTGAGTCATGGGATCGACTTCGCCTAACCTGCTCCCAACCCTTCACACGTTATCAATCCTTCGGCCTGGCCTTCCTGCGTGTGCGTTCCTCTCTGGACTCCCCAGATGACCCTGTGATAGATCCCTCAGCCCCTGTGAACTCTGGGCTGAGCCAGGTATGTACAAGGGTGGAGCAAGGACTTAATATTTCCCCATCCTTTTCAGTTTCTTGTTAGGAAATTGGTGCTTGATTAAGGAATAGACATATGCACACATACATTCAAACACAAACATGAACAGGTTTGCTGCCCTTACGGG